CATCGGAAGCAAAGCATACACCTTGATCAACGAAAAACAAGGAAAATTTGAGAAAAAGAGTCAAGAGATGGTGCTGGTCGGCTATGCATCAAAACAAAAGGCATATCGTGTTTGGCAGCGTGGAACTCAGAAAGTTATTGTAAGTCGAGATGTAAAAATAGTTGAATCTAAAACCAAGCAACAAGCTGTTATAGTTGAAACAACAAATGACATTCATGAAGATAACATCACAAGTGTCGGAACTTCAGATAACGACTCACAAAGTGATATTGGAAATCAATCTGACACGTACTTAACAGCAAGTGATGACTCTAATGAAGATGGCAACAGTATTGCAAAACGGACGCGCAACAAGTCAAAGGAAAACAAATTTAATGAATGCATTGCAAACCGTACACGGAGTCATGTCTCTTCTAACATAACAATTGCTGCAAAAGCCTTCTTAGCAAATGTTGTAATTCCAAATACAGTTGCTGAAGCTAAATCAGGACCCCACAAAGATCAGTGGGAGTCAGCCATGAAGATGGAATATGATTCGTTAATCCAAAACAATACCTGGACTCTGGTCAAACCACCTGAAGGTCGAAAACTAATAAAGAACAAGTGGGTCTTTCGATTAAAAACGAAACCGGATGGTTCTATCGATCGATTCAAGGCACGCTTGGTAGCCAAAGGATGTTCGCAAAAAGCTGGAGTAGACTACTCAGAAACGTTTTCGCCTGTTGCAAGATTCGACTCTATTCGTACACTATTATCAATTGCAACTGCCAAGGATTATGAAGTCTATCAACTGGATGTTAAAACAGCCTTCTTATATGGAGACCTCGATGAAACCGTTTATATGGAGCAACCAGAAGGACTGGATGATGGATCAGGAAAAATATGTAAATTAAATAAAAGTCTGTATGGACTCAAACAAGCTCCTAGACAATGGCACTCAAAAATCGACGAATTCGTCCGACGGTTTGGCTTGAAACCATCACATGCGGATCCATGTGTATATACTGGTGATGAACTATTTATGGCATTATATGTTGATGATGGCTTGGTAACAGGCTGTTCGAAATCAAAAATTGAAGAATTGCTAAATGCATTGCGACACAACTTTGAAATTAACTGCTCAAATGCAGTATGCTATCTTGGCATTGAAATTTTGCATGATCGCAAATTGAAGAAACTTAAGTTATCACAAGCAGCTTACACAAAACAAATACTTGAAAAATTCAAGATGTTAGACTGTAATGGAATTAAGATTCCTATTGATCCGAACGTCAAATTAAAACGCAACTTGAACGAAGATGGAAATCCAGGCACAATTGCTGACGTTCCATATCGACAATTAATTGGCTCTCTTATGTATCTCTCAATCGGAACGAGACCCGATATTTCATATGCTGTAAACTTATTAAGCAGGTTTCTTGAAACACCATCAAACGAACATTGGACAGCAGCGAAACAAATACTAAGATATTTGAAGTCAACATTAAATCTGGGGATAGTATATGATGGAACTGATGTCAACTCTAATCAACTGACAGCATATTCAGATGCAGACTATGCTTCATGCCCAGACACTCGTAAAAGTACTAGTAGAGTTGTACTTATATTAAACAATGGACCTGTAGCTTGGTCTTCCAGGAAACAAAGTATAGTAGCGACTTCCACAACAGATGCAGAATACGTATCAGCCCATGATGCAGCCAAGGATGTCTCGTGGTTTCGACAATTACTCAAGGACATTGGAATTGAACAACATAATCCAACTACACTGCATTGTGACAATGCGGCAGCTGAAAAATTGATTCAGAATCCTATTTTTTATAAAAGATCAAAGCATATAGACGTTAAATTTCATTATGTACGCGATCTGTTTATAAGAGGACTAATAGATGTAAAACATGTATCATCTAAAATGCAACTTGCTGATATTTTGACAAAGCCTTTGTCACGCGAGATTTTGAATTTAATCGGAATCAGTTAAATTTAGTATAATACTATTGATAATTAGCTCGAGTGGGAGTGTTAAGAAAAATGCGATCTAACGTCAATTACGTTTTGTATGATATTCAGTCTGTTCAGTTTTGTTAATCGTTTTGCTTCCTCTCTATTTTGTTCATGGAGTTACGTGATACGTGCGCCCCCTTTCTTTACCTTCCAAGCTTCAGAACTACTCTCTCGCTCGAAAGCCTTTGTGCATAATTTGTAACGTCTGATTTCAAACTTATAACTTACTTGAGCAATCGTAATAAATCACTTTATATTGTATAATTAATCTGTGCTAGTTATTTACTCAAAATAGCCCAACAAATATGAAGATGATAAATTAAAATTCCGTAAATAGTTAGATCTTAAATTTAATCTTTTATATTACGAAAAATTTTCATATTCAATCGTAATTAATCAAGTAAAAATTGGTGATATTACTACTGTAGTATTTATGCGTTATGTCTGAATGTTATCAGCGCGCAATTATGGGGGGACTACATAATATGTAGTATATAAAATTCACGCATAATTATAATAAGCACCTTGATTTAGCTTTGACCGTTATAGGCGGTATATTCTTTCCTTGTTTGTTTGACAATATACGGTCGTTACAAAATCATTTAATATTGTTATATAATATGGTTATTATTAGAGCTTACTGATAGTACTTTCATATACATAAGCAGTCACTTTCGGCCATATTGATACTGACCTCTCTCGGTCAACAACGAGAATTAATTCAATTACCTAATATATAATTGAATTACTTTGAAAATGTGTCAAATATATTTTGAGCTTGTAACAATTATTTATTAAATAAATATCAAAAGCCAATGCGAGCCAGCATAGGTTAATCGTGTGTAAAATCTATTTATTTGAAAAAAAAGTCAACTACAAATCCTTTGTTCGGATTCTCTTTAGTGCGTGAATAACAATGAAATTATATAAAAGTGAATATATATGTATTCAGTTCAACAATAAAAAGAAAATCTTCTTTCGGACTCTCTTGATTCAAAAAACAAATAAATTCCTAATAATCCAGGGCAAGTGAGAGTTCAAACGTGGTTGTTGGTACGTAGGTATAAAGTGAAGCGGAATTGTTAGAAAATCCTTTATTCAACAATATTCTTCCATCAACGTTTAGGACGTTTCGACTTCAATTTGAGTCATCTTCAGCAATCATTTAACAATCTCTTTATTGTATATTGTGTAAGTAAGTCACAACAAATTAGATTGTTAAATGATTGCTGAAGATGACTCAAATTGAAGTTGAAACGTCTTAAACGTCGATGGAAGAATATTGTTGAATAAAGGATTTTCTAACAACTCTGCTTCACTTTATACCTACGTACCAACAACCACGTTTGAACTCTCACTTGTCCTCGATTATTAGGAATTTATTTGTTTTTTGTATTCAGTTCTTTAAAGTGTTGTTAAATATATTTTGTATACAATTGAACAAGGAATTTAACCATATTTTTTTCAAACTTTCATAAATAATAGTTTTTGGTAATAAAATATTATTAACATTTACATTGTTAATAACAATAAAAGTTATTAACGTTTTAAACACATTCACATAATATTATAAAAGCACTTAATTTCCCCTTTAAAATCGTCTTTGGCTCATTATTTTACGATAATTCAAATCGGAGATATTTAACTTCAAAGTAAAGCGAATGCTCAGTTCTATACAAACTTCTATGTAAAAAAACTTCAATGAAAACATTTTTTAAGCTCACACATTATTTAAATGGTGTATATTTACCTAATATAACAAACGTATCAAGCAGTTTAAAAGATGTGAGGTAAATTCTTATCCGATTTTCTCAGGAATTGTTCATATACAAATTACGAGGTGTGTACAAAAAGTTCATGCTCTGAATTTTATTCTGCCGATGTGGCGCTGTAAGCTTGTACAGTGGTGCAACCTCTCGGGGGAAGCGTCACGTGTCCTTAGTATAAAAGTTAAGGTAAAACTTCCCCTTTACTTCATCAGCCTTAAATGACTTCCGAATGACCTTGACCTTGACCCTCAAGAAGGTCATTGACCGTTCCCGTCGCTCGTTATTCGTTAAAAAGTTATTAACAAAAAAAGTTTTAAAAATAACGTACAATTTCTGCTATACATATATGATGTTAAGCACTATTCTACACCTCCTCCCCCTGTTTAGAAATGTTAAACTTTCCACGCGAAGCAACTCTCACCCCCTTCCCCCCTGCGGGGGGCTCCACTACTGTTAAAAATAACCTAATCCAATTGTTTGTGAGATAGCTTTCGCTTCGCATGGAAAGTCGAAACCTACGTGCACAACAGTACAGAAATTGTGCGCCTCTTGCAGGGGGGAGGGGGGTGAGAGTTGCTTCACGTGGAAAGTCAAGTTAGACAAAGGACTGTTACAATTCAAATAACGATATGTTTCCTTCCCACAATATTATTATTTTCAAATTCCTAACACGAATGTACATATGTCAACTTAAATGAAGCAAAACTCGTGCTGTATTACTGAAATATGTACCATGTGTTCGAAAATGTTCGATGTACATGACCCGAATTGTGAGCGGAGAACTCATGGATTCTGCATCAGGACAATGCACCTTCGTACGCCGTGTTCATTACGCGCGAGTTTTTGGCCAAAAGTAATATTGCTACCATGGACCACCCTCCCTATTCACCTGATGTAGCACCCTGTGACTTCAATCTGTTCCCTAAAGTAAAAAATATCATGCAAGGTGAATATTTTGTGGATGTTGATACCATAAAACGAGAAACGACAAAGCTCCTAAAGAGACTGATAAAGGAAGACATACAGCACTGCTTTTAGGAATAGAAGAAGCGTTGAACCAAATGCATTCTGTCAAGGGAAGAGTACTTCGAGGGTGACCACATCCCCGTTACAGAATAATTTAATTTAGATTTTTGGTAAACCGAGTGCACGGACTTTTTGTACACACCTCGTATATACTTACAACGTAAGCATATATGCATAGACACGAATTCTTACGTGACTTACTTGTAAATACTGAGATGATGACGTATGCATTCCGATAGTTCTGTTTTGTCTTCATTTAATAAAGAGCTTGCGCGTCCTAGATATTTGACTGTTTTATTAATTATTAATTTATGTAGGCGATTTTCGAATATTTCAAACTGAGCACACGTTTGCAAAATCAATCCGAAGACTAACGTTTCCGTGCCAACATTTATCAGAGTGGCAAAAATTAAAGTTATAATCTGATGAGTGGATATAATCCAAAACATCACAGATACATTATAATTACATGGCAGCCATATTCGATAAGGTAGATGACCTTGCATAACGTTTAATACTGATCCTATCGTAGTACCTGTAACGGAACTTGTTGCTAAAAGTGAATATTTTATCGAGCATGATCTGCAAACATAGAATCAATATGAAATTTTATATAAACTTTTATTATTATTTATACTTTTAAAATAATTTAATTTATAATCATAAAATTTATATTAAGTCTACCACTTAATTTTCGGCCCCTATATTAATCGACTACAGAACTTATTTATTTGAATCTTTTTCTTTACAGATAATCATTTTGAAGTGTCATCCTTAAGCTTTAAAATAAAGTATAATAAGTGTCGGGGTGCTGCAAATATAACCTCAAAAAATAGTAGTAATGACTATTTTGTTCGAAAAGTAGCATTTGAAGCATTGTCTTTTTTTCGCATTTGCTCAAGAAAAATGCTGAAGCTTAAGAAATGATTTGCTCAGCTTTAAGCGGACACTCTGTGTCGTTCGATACACATAAAAAGTAGTTCTAAAGATTTCGTGATGGCAATTTCAATTTTTTTCATCATAGAATTCATTGACTCAAAACAATTACCTTTTTTCCGAAGTGGAATCCGACAGTTATCTAATGAAAATGTGTGGAAAATGAAGAGGATTGCTTTGACTAGGTTAATATTCGTTCATTTATAATTTTACATCATAACTTGGTAAAAAAAATCGAGAATTAAGTTGGAGACTTAATAATTACTGTATATATGTATATATATTATTAGGTGTATACATATAAGTTTTAAAGCATTTTTAACAAAATTTAATATTTATTTATTTAGAAACGAAAACACATTTAATTATCAAAATAATCCCCGTCATTATCTATGACCTTTAGCCATCTTTCGGACAGCTTTCCAGAAGCGAAAAAAGTTTCGTCTTTCGATACAATAAAATTATTCACCCATTTTCACACTTCTTCAAATGCTCGAAAGTGTACACCGGACAAGGTATTTTGCATTGACCGGAATAAATGATAATCTGAAGAGACTATGTCTGAGCTATACGCCGGGTGCGATAGAATTTCCCAATTAAGCGCTAGCAACGTTTCCTTTACAGATTTATCAACATAAGGCTTATCGTTTTCATGAAGCAATTTTACGGGACGTTTTCCTTTGCCAGGAAATGGACGATTTCGTTTGATGTCTTGATTTAAATGAATCAAATGTTGACTGTAGCGATCACTGTTAACCGTTTCATTCGGGTAGAGCAGCTCAAAACATAGCACACCCTTCATATCTCACCAGATACATAGCATAACTTTGCTGCTGTGAATGTTGCGTTTTGATGTTGATGTAGTGGGTTGTTTTGGATCCAAATAATGTTTTTTGTTTTTAGGATTATCGTAAAAAATCCACTTTTCATCATTAGTCACGATTTTCCACAAGAAAGATTTTCTATGCTCTTTATTGTACAGATTCAAACACTTCTCAAGACGATCATTTTTTTACATGCGGCGCCCATTTTCCTTCCTTCAGAATTTTTCCCATCTGCCGTAAACAAATTGATACATCTTATTGAGTTACTCTAAGTTGCTGTGCAAGTTCTCTTTGTGTTTGACATGAGTTTTGATTGAGTAATGCTTGCAATTGATTGTCTGTAACCTTCTGAGGAGCACCACTACATTCTTTAACGTCAAAATCATCCTCTTTAAATCGCCTAAACTAAAACTCATACATACTTTTGGGTACAACATTGTCTCCAAGAACAGAATAAATAATTGATTCATATGCTTTAGCAACGCTTTTTCCTTGATGAAATTCGTATCGAACGTAGTGTCGAATAGATTGCTTGTGGCTCATAATTTAAAAACCATTTAATTGTGAAGTTAAGTTTCCAATTGTGTGAAAAAAAAGTCAATTTTTTTTTTAATAGTACATATTAAGCGCCATCACGTATCAAAAGAGCGCAAAAATATTTGAATTCTGAGTTTGAATTATGGGTTACACAAAAAACGCTTTAAAACTTATTTGTACACTCAATATATTAATTATTTTATACATGTATTGTGCAAATTATTACGTTAATTTAAAATGGTTTATGATAATGGTTGCTTTCCATTTACACACAAGTGAAACTGAGTCTGAAGTGAGCTGAGTATAAAATACTCAGATTAATGACGTCACTACTTGCTTACTTTGGTTGCCTAGCAACGCGATCGTCGTTGTTTGACAGATTTGACTGAGACTACTAAGAGCTGTCTTCGCGCGCGGACATGAGACGTGATCTCTCTCACTAGATTATATATCGTTTCTCATTGTGTTCCTTTTTGTGTTGTTACAATAAACGTGTTCTTGTTCCTTCTTTAACTGCGAGTTCTCCTTATTTCCGCAAACACGCGCGAGTGATACGTCGTACGTGTCGGCGAGGCGTAACAATATATGTATGTTAATCTCACAAAGTGGCGCTTTTACTAGGAGCGCGTGAATACAGATAATGTAGGTAATACAGATTTCTTACAACACCCTCACTTATTAAATATTAGAAATTATATTGATGAGGAAATTGAGTAATACTGAATTGTGAGTACACAAAAAAAACAACATAAAATGTTTTGTAAAAAAAAATCCCCGCAATGCAATTCAGTTTAAAAAATGTTAAGGAACAATATTGTTAAGTAATGTGAATTCATGTATTTAGAGTGCGATACGAGTGTGCGACTATGCGTAGTAATATAAGTGTATGCGGATAGAGAGCGACACTTGTAATGCGAGGAGAGGGCGATTGCTGCGAGAGCAAGATAACACAGAAGGAAGATATCAGAACTCGGAAGGATAACGTATAAAGCTAACGTATAAAGCAGCTCGTAGCGTGTATCGGTTTAAAACTGAAAAGTAATGTGTAATTGTTTAATAATAATAAAATAGAACAAATTGAAAAGAACTCTAGTAGAAAGAAGAAGGACTATAATTTCGGATCCCGATCCCAGTAATTTTAACAAATATAACATTTCTAATCTTTTATAAACTAAGACCTGCTCTACGCGCGCAAGAAGTATGTTTCGGATCATGAACTGCCTTCGTCAAACTATCTGCGGTCATCTCTTCGCTTGGGATGTATTTTAATTCGATGACTTTATTTGAAACCTTCTCACGAATGTAGTGATGTCGCACGTCTATGTGTTTGATCTCGTGTTTTGCGCCAAATATAACAAGCTTCCAACAGCCTGATACGGTACATTTTTGAGCTCTCGCTTCTCCTCTTTACTGACTGCGGACATCTCGATAGATAATCTCTAGTTTGAATCGCTTGGAGTTGCAGCTCGTTTGCAGACAGCCATGTTAAATTTCTCAAGAATTCTCTTTATATATTCTGTTTGATCCAAATATATTCCATCAGATTCATAAGTGATTCGGAGTCCAACGCAGCTGCTGGCAATACCCATATCCTTCAACTTGAATACTGCACAAAGAAATTTCTTCAATTGATCTTTGATTTTTGCATCAGACCAAAAAATCAAAATATCATCTACGTAGATCGCCAATATTAGCGTTGCATCTTGGTTGTAGTAAATACATAAATCCGCTCTCGTGATTGAATGAGTCCAAAATCCTTAAGTTTTTTGCCAAGTTTCTTGTTCCATTCACGACTGCTCTGCTTTAAATCATAGATCGTTTTATTAAGTCGACATACTTTGCCTTCTTCGTGATTGAATCCCTCTGGTGGTTCCATGTAGATTTCTTCGGACAAATCTCCTAGAAGAAAGGCAGTAATCGCGTCCATTTGATCTATTTTTAATCCGCGCTTGGCAGCAAGTGCTATCAAATATCGAATCGATAAATATTTCGCCACAGGCAAGTACGTTTCATTGTAATCAGTGCCATATCTTTGCGAGCACCCTTTTGCAATAAGTCTGGCCTTGTGTCGCACTATCTCTCCATCTCCATTGCGTTTGGTTTTAAAAATCCATTTGCATTTGATAGCCTTTTTATTAGGAGGTAAATTTACGAGTTTCCAAGTACAATTGTCTTGAATCGAATTTAGCTCTTCATTAATAGCCACTCTCCATTTTGAGTTATGACTTCGGTCTAGCGCTTCCTTCAGTGTTAAAGGGTCATCTTCTTCATTACCCATCGCTAGATACGTAATGTAATCATCGATAATAATATTATACGATATGTCATATGAATCAGTTCTGTAGTCTTTGATTTTGTAATATTTATAAGCAGCGTTGTATCAACATGTATATAGAATTGTATTTACATAGAAACTATGTGAACATAGTTCTATATAATATTATTAAGATCTAATAAGATGCTATAAGCATCAAATATCGTTAAATTGCGTGTCAATTTAACTAGTGATATTACTACGATAGTTATTTAGAGTTGCGTTTGTAAAAGACTGAAAATATTTCGGCGCGCGATTAAAGAAGACTACATACGTGGTAAATAAATTCACACATTATTGTAGCAACCTAAATCTTGCTTGACCATCATTTGGCCTTTATTCAATTTATTGTTTGTAATCATCGAAGTTTCTAGGCTTCGGAACACGAGACGATCTTCTTAATCCCTGTGGAGGTGTTAAAGTTTTATCAAGCTCGTCACTTGATATTCCTTCGTTGACAGATGCGAATGAGTCCTCTTCCGAGTTACTATCTTGCTCTCTCTCTGACTGAATATCTTCTGTTGTGGACGCATCATCTCTGAATCAGCATTTTCCTCAACGTTCATGGTCGTTGAAATCGCTTGTTGTTTTTCAAGAAATTTGACATCTCTACTGATAACAAGCTTTTTTGTGTTGGAATCAATACAGCGATAACCTTTAGTACCATAACTATACCCGACAAATATTAATTTGGTTGATTTGGAGTCCCATTTTAACCGCTTTTATTTTGGAACATGAACCATTACTTCGGAACCGAATATCCTAAGATTACTTACATCCGTCTTATTTCCGGTCCGCATTTGTTCTGGCGTCTTACCATCTAGTATCGAGTTGACACATCTGTTGACCACATATGCCGCCATATTGATGGCTTCGGCCCAATAGCTTTTATCTAGCTTAGCATCGAAAAGCATACATTTAGCTCTCTCTATTAGCGTACGGTTCATACGCTCTGCAATTCCATTTTGCTGAGGAGTGTATGTGTTCGACGTTTGGTGATGTACGCCTTCATTTCTGCAGAATTTTTCAAAATCCTTGCTGCAATATTCAGTCCCATCATCTGTCCTGATTGCTTTTAGTTTTCTCTCGGTTTGGATCTCAACAAGCTTCTTGAATTCTTTGAATCGCTTCAGTACTTCAGATTTTGGCCTTAAAAAATAAACAAAAACTTTTCGTGAAAAATCGTCTATAAACGTTAAAAGATACCTGGCTCCTCCAATCGAAGCATTTTCCATCGTTCCACAGATATCTGAATGAATTAGATCCAAGGTATGCTTTGCCCTTTTTCCAGAAGCCTTAAATGGAAGTCTAACATGTTTGCCTTGTATACAAATTTCGCATCGCATAACCTCTTCAATGCTATCAGTAAAATTTACTCCATCTACTGCGCCATCACGCATTTTGCACAAATCACCATGGTTGTGACGCATTTTGCACAAGTGACATGGGCTAGTCGACGATGCCAAGTTATCGCGCTGTCGCCGGTGATAGATAGCATACACGGTGAAATGATACTTGAAAGATGATATACTCCACCAGATGGTTTTACCTTGACTAGACAATTTCCATTTTTGCCAAAAATAGAGCATCAAATACTATGGTATTTCCATTTTTTACCATTTGATTGACTGAAAGTATGTTTGTCGACAATTCCGGAACATGTAGAACATCCTTTACGTTGACATCCTCGTTCACCCTGAGAACAACTTTCCCAGATCCTGAGACAGCCATTTTATGATTATTGGCAATAACAATTTCTGTCACTGATGTAGATTTCAATTCACTTAACCAATTTGAGTTAGACGTCATATACTGTGACGCGCCGCTATCTATATACCAACTATTTCGATTTTGCGTTGCTTTATTTTCGACATTAGAAGTAGGCTGTAGGATTTAAGTCTCTTTACGCCTGAGTGTCTACAATGACTTACAGCCGACAATAACGAAAGAGCGTTATCCTTTATATCCATAATTATGGATTGGCAAGAAATTGGATTTGTTACATTATTTATGATGTTATGGAATTAGCTCCTAATATTGCAATTGCGCATTATTCAGACGAAGAGGTCTATTATTGGTCGAAGATGGTGGGCACGACCTGTGAACAGGCGCAAACATATAGGTTTCAACCTTAACCTATTTCGCGCGAGTTGATGATAACTGATCACGAAGAATTTTTCCGGTATATTCGGATGTGGCCAGAGCAATTTGAATTTTTGCTCAATTTGGTGTATC